GAAAGTCATTTATCCACTTATTAAGTTTATGGTCTCCGGAAAGGGCCTTTTGAATTACTTTTGACAATTCAGTGAAGATGTCTTTCAGATGTATAGCCTGATCAGAAAAGAAGATGGGGTGGGAAATATTTAAACAGAACAGAAAAACATGCTATACCATTATATATATTAGTAATACAAATTTATAAGAGTACTGTGCTGAATTATGGGGATCCGGCAGGAGTGATGTCTGTGAATACGGACATGTAAAACTCTGACCAAAAAAAAAAGTGATGGAAGAGACTGGAATTATTTCGTGTAGAAGGAGGAAAATAAGAGGAAATCTGATGATAAAATATATATGGAATGATGAATACAGTATTGAAGGCAGACCAAAACCTAGTCATTCTGGCTCTGATCCATCCTATCTAATTTTAGATACTTACAGTATAGATGTCTATGAGTGAAGTGGTCAGCTTGGGCTCCCTTTATGGCCAATGGAGAGAAATAGGTGCGGTTAGGGAATGGTTCATCTGACCTGCTGACTTCAGCATCTTGAAAGGGAACCCAGGGAGGGGAGGTCTGCTGAGCCTTGGTCAGAGGAATCCCACACTGTGTTTCTATACACAAGAAATCAGTCACTGAATCAGAGGTGTGAAGTTAAAACTTGGCTGGACAAGAAGATATTTTTTTACAGAACCTCTTACCATGGAAGTCATTTTACACAACCAGTTGGTGTACTCTAGCACGTAGCACCAGGTTTGCAACATTCATTATTGGTTTGGGTGTAAAGACAGACACAACAGGTCCTTTCAATATTGCCACACTTCATTCAAAAAAAAACACCTTTCAGAGTAGACTTAAAAGGATGAATTTCAGCTAAAAGAGGCTGATCTTCCCCAGTCTCCTTCCACAGACAGAAAAGCTCCCTTGAGAGTAGGTGAACTAGGCTTTGGCTCTGCACCGGCCTCGAGACACCTCTCTATTCCTGCTCACTGTAGAGTATGACTAAGAACATCAGTCTTCATGGATTCAAACAGACTCTAACTGGAAGGATGCACATGAATGCTTTTGGAGAGAAGATAATCCTAGGTTCACTTTGCCTCTTGTCTTCCTCTGTGATGTCTAAAACTGGTTCTGGTGGTCATCTGGGTTGTGTCTTTAAGGAAGAACGCTTTGCAGTGTAAATCTTTGTGCAGTTATTTTAGTATTTTAGAAGACAAATTTTCTAAAAATATGTATTTGAAGTCTTGTTTGGTTTGCCTTGTTTCAGAATTTTACAGGCATAAAAATGAGTCAGGCAATAGGGTCTAGGAATGAGCAACTCCCTCTCAGAGCAAAGAAGAAAAGGTTTGTCACTGTCCAGTGACACAGCATTCACATGTTACTGGACACTACAAATTGCTTAACAGTGGTAAAGCAACCTCGTTGTATTGCCCATGTGATTTTAAAATCTCTAGCATTTTCTTGGTAATTGGTCTGTTGTGGTTTGAGCCCAGTCAGTAATAAAGCACCACAAAGCCCCTCGCTCACTCCCCTGGCCCTGGTGGGATGAGGAGAAAATATAAAGGCAGGCTTGAGGGTTGAGACAAGGACAGGGTGGGATCACTCACCACTTACGGTCACGGGCAAAAGGCAGGCTCATCTTCGGGGAAGAAACAAAATCAATTTAATTTACTATAAGTCAAATCAAAACAAGGATACTGAGAAGTAAAACCAAACCTTAGAACACCTTCCCCCCACGCCTGTGGGGTGTGTGGTGTACCGTGTGTCCCTGAATATTTTGTAATACTTATTTGCTCTTCTATGAGTGCTGACTTAACGTCTAAAATAGTGCTGTCTTTGCCAAACAGATATTTGTGTAATTTTCACATTTTTAATTTTGATTGCTGTATTAATATGATAATTTTCAGTTTTGGGTTCAGCTGAAGGATAAATAACACAGACAACACAAGAAGCATCTATTCATTTCACTGTTGAGAAGGAATCACTGGCCATTCTAGTTTTGCATTGAGCATAGGCGTAGCAGCTCCGATGTGTTACATCACTTTTGACTCCTGTCTTCTTTTTTGATGACCAAATTTTGAAATTTTCCAGATTGAAGTTTTTGCTCTGGCAAAGTCTCACTGCAGGAATGAGTAAGCATTTTGGGTTTTGGTCTGAGGACTCTGCCATTGTAACATAATCTGTGTTGATATGGAATTAATTTTCCACCTGAAATCATGATCCTCTGCCTTTACCGCATTATAATCCTCCCCAGAGCAACCATTTGTGATACTGCAGGCAGATTATGACTTGAAGTGAAGAATAAGCTTCAGCAAACAGAAGCAGATGAGCTCTAAAAGAGATAAAGATCCCATTTTCTTGCTAGTAATAAACAGCAAAAAATATATATAAAATACGAAGGAGAAGCACTGTCTATAAACAGACTTTTCTGGAAGTCACAAGTGACTTTTTCATATCAAAACATAATACTTAATCAGTAAACCTCGAAGTATTTTGAGGTGAAGTCACTCAGTGAGACAGACCCACATACTTAAATCCCTATTTGGCATGCATTTCTTAGCACTTTTAGAGCTGCTTAGCTTCTACCAAATTCTTCTATTACGTAAACATACTTTCTCGGAGAGTTTTATCCAGTTAATGGGGATGGCAGCATGGTGAGGGAGCAATGCAGCACAGGGTGTATAACCAGGCTTCGGCCAGGAGCTATTGTCTGTAAATGAATCATAATGCTTTTAACATTTAGAAAATCTCTTCTGATTTCAGAACTCAGAATAGATTTGCTGGGTATTTTGCTCTTTTAAGGAATATTTTCTTTTACTATGGAATAGTCCCTGATGCACACTAATATGTTTTTTGTAAAAGAAAATTACCACAAGAAGTAAGCTCTGAAATAGTAGGCTCCTTGTGTTGTATTTTTTTTTCCCCTGTCATCCTGAATAGTCCTAGGATCACATTGAATGATACGTTTTAAGTATCTGTTGGCTATTTCACAGTGTAGAAAGAAACCGGGGCAGTAAGTTTTCCTGCTGCAATAGTGTGGCAGAGTATCTCACAGATTCACATCTTTGAACGTTTAGAGATCTTCCTAAATCTGTGCAGGTCTGCTGGCTGCAGTGGCTTCCACTACACTGCTTGCACTGGTTGATACAGCCGGGGTCCTGCTTCTATTTAAGATACGGGGAGTCAAAGTCTGGCCCTGCCTGTAGTCCGACTGACTACTGCTTCAGTAGGATAGGAGGATAGGATTCAGGAAATTTTGGCCGTATATTTCCATCATGTGTATTTCATAGCCCTGATAGACCACATAACATGAACCTCCCAGACAGACTAAGTAGAGTCGGGCTCTATCCCTGTCCCTCCTGTCCAGTGTCCAGGAGTAGAAGGTTGCTACCTGGAAGTTACTTCACCTGATACTTCACCTTAGCACTTCAACCTTTTCATATCATCTGTTGCATGCAGTGTATATTTGTAGCAATTACTAGCATGTGTATGTAAATATATGTTTGTGTGTTTTGGCTCTTTAGGGGTATATTTACTTAATGGAGCACATATTCAAATAATGAAAATAGCTGTTTGTCTCTCTGAGTGCCCAGAACAGACTGCAGCTCTCTTCCCTTGCAGTATCATGAACATTAGAGGAGTAAGTCCAATTTGCACAGAGCCATACCTATGACTTTTGATTGCTTCAATTTACCAACATAACAACATTTTAGCATAACTTTTCTATGCTGATTTCCTAATTAACACAAACCAAACCAACAACAACAACAAAAAAGCAAAACAAAACACAAAAACCAAACCCAAAAGCTAAGGGAAGGAAACCTCCTAGAACAGCAAGTTTATATGGAAATGTATTGCTCCCACTAGTTTTCAGCTGGGAGGAACTCAGGATATTTAGATTCACAGCATAGATTTCTGCAGTTTTAGCTAAAATCTCACCTTGCAGAAGTGTGATTCTTTATATGGACCAGCCATTTCCGAGTGCTGGGTTTGTCACACAAGGACTACAGCGGAGATATTTTACTAGAAGAAAAAAAAGGTAGAAAATTAGGAATTGTTGCATCTATTTTTGGTTTTGAAAGGGAATATAGTCCTTAAACTGCAGACTGTCACTAAGGACATAGATTTGGCTGACTTATTCTGAAAGCTGATGTGACTAAGTGAAGGAAACTCTTATTTACAACCTGGCCAAGTTTAATATCAACCAATATTGTATTAAGTACAAATGATGCATGACAGGCTAGTGCATGCTTATGAGGAGACTGAGTGAAATGAGAGAATGCTCACTGTAAATGCTCTGCAGGTAGCAATACAGGGTTAGCATTTTATGTGTTGCCATTAAAGGAATGAAATTCTGTAAGGCTGTGAGACATTCTAGATGATGCTCAGAGGTTTTCACAGCAAGCCTCCAAAAAGCATTTGTGAAAGGCAGCTTTTCCTGAGTTTATATTTGGCCAAATATACATATATTTCTCAGATGATAGCAAGACAGCACTCTGCCTTAATTATTTTATTCCAAATGGTAAGGTCTCCCCCCAAATCTAGAAACATCAGACCTCTTAACAAGAACCATTAGTCATAATTAAGTGTTGCCAGCTACCAATTTTATTTCACTTTCATTCTCACAAAAAAATGCACCTTTTCAGCTCAAGGTCCCTCAAACAATTTCTCACAAGGCCAAGAATTAACCTGGAAAATTTCAATTACAAATTTTAAATTAGAAATATTTAGGTATAAATAACTAAAAATGTAAGCTTATAAAGAAAAGCAACAGGAGTTACTGCAACTAGCTGTGTCAATAATACACATAATTGAGAAATATAAAACAAACGTGATATTAACAGTACTTGGCAACATCTCTTTATTGTTACATGCAGTATATATGCACATTGTATTAACTTAAGATGAGCATGCTTGTACCTCAAGTCGTTATTAAGATCCTGTATGATTTTTCTGTTGTTATATGGCTCCATTCTGGGAGATGTCATACGCGATGATTGCTTTTTCTGTTATAGGGCTTTAGATCAAGTCCTCGTCATGCTAGAAGACGTGTAGCACCTCGCCTTGAGGAAACACAACCTATAGTGGAAGCTCACCACCTAAGTGAGCAGGAAACTTCTGTAAGAAAAAGAAAAATCAAGAAAAGCAGCCGAGTTCAACCAGAATTCTATCATTCTGTTCAAGTTACTCCAACTCGAAAACCTGTAAGTATTCTACCTTTAGGAATAAATAGCACTCAAAGTATATTATAGAGGCATAATTCTACTTTTTGGGCCATCCATATTCTGTTCCTCAGTTTAAAAACCCTTTCAGTTCTCATGTTCAGTGAATCTAGATATAAGTTGGTTAGACTGTATTTAATGCTGATGCAGAACTAAAAAAAATCCAGTTCTGAGGAGGGGTTTTTGAATTTTGATTTAATATTCAGTCTATAGTTAATATTCAAATAAGATATTTCATTTGATAGCTTTATAGTGGTATTACTTAACAGGTTTTTATAGCACATGTGTATGTTATTGAAATTCCTCACTCAGATTTATCAGAGATTCTATGTACTGAACCAAATTTTTATTAAATCTCATTACTAGATATGATTTTGAGGTCTCTTCCGCTTTATACAGTATTTACAATCTTTGTGCTCAGCAAAACTTATATCAAGTTTTATCATTCTTTGCTCCTCAGCTTGATCTACACATAATTCTTTTAATATTGATAGCCTACTTTTAGTGAGGAAATATGACAATTCCTTGAAACACTTACAGAGTTCGTAATGTAAATGCACATGAAGATTTTTCCTGCAGACATGATGCATTTCTCTTTTTAATGAGAGCTCATTGCTTTGATGCATTTGCTGACTAACCTATCTGTGCCAGTGTTAAGGGGCTTGAACTACTTCTATTAAGCCAATATTATTAAAAAAGTAACTATTGAGCATACCTTAAAAAAGATTATCTTGAGGTTGCTCCAACCAAACTGAACCTTCCTAGATTTGTGTTAATTGAGCACCAAGAATTATCAGTGAGCTCTGAAGCTGGTTTGAGAAAGAGCATTCCCTAGTGGAAGTACATTGCCTGAGAGAGCAAGAAACTTGCGCAAAGAAAGCCAGAGCTGCCAAAAACTGCCAGAATTTTTACCTTTTAGCAGATATATGTCGTTTCTCTGCTTCCACTTCACTACTCCCCAATTTCCTCTATTCTCTCATGCTTCTACTTACTATTTTACTCTGCTGCTGTTTCTGTGGTTTAGTTTGATCTGATGGATTCATCTTCTGCTCTTCTTAAAGGATCTGCTCTTCCTTTCTTCTCAAGCGTCTCCCTTTTACTCCCATCCTATCTTGCTCTCTAGACTACTTTGTCTAACTCTGTTATTCTTACTAGGTCTTCAGCCTCTCACCAGGCTCTCCTCCCTTCATTGCTTGCTTCTGGTCCTTTCCCCGCTTTGTTGTCCTTCCTTCATCTCTTCCATCATTTCCTCTATATTTTCTATTCCACTCGTGTTTTTTCAATTTTCTTTTTTGTTTGATTGTTCTTAATTTTTTCCATGGCACGTCTATGCCAAGGGTAAGCCTGCCTGTAATAGCTCAGGCTATTACCAATATGGGAAAAAGAGCATCAGTGGTGCTGAATTAAAGAGATAAAACTGTGGAAATGGTGTAAGCAGCAAAACAGGCTTTGAAGAATGGATTAGTGAAGCAAAGAAAGCCCTGCTTTTCCCCAGTCAGTAACACGTCAGGGACTTCAGGACCAGCAAAGAAAAAGAAGTATAAGAATAGAAAATGCACATTATTACTATATAACTTCACTTTCCTGTCATTTCATGGGTCTATGCTGTGTCTGACAAGACCTACCACTTAAACAATAATAAATCCTAGATTTAGAGAAAACTTCTCTCAGTGCTGTCACCATTATGTCACTATCTTGAAATTGCTTTTGCAGTATATCTTTTATGCAACATTATATAGTTCTTTTGATAGCCTTTTGTTCTACAGCCTTGATGAACTCACATTTCTACAAAAAAGAATAAATCATTATCTTTATTAGACTACGATCCAGAAAACATAAGTCACCAATTTCATTTCTCATGGACGTTGTAAGTTATTCTGAATGTATTATTAACACTATGGTGACAGAGTGAATAAGGGTCATGCCGTGACAAATCACTGCAGCGTTGTGAAGTTCCACGCACTCACAATGTCGTCCATCCCACAGGTTGTTGCAGCTTTATTCCACTTAGTCTCAGCATCTTGAAGATGAGAGACTTTTGGCCTTTACCTTTGTACAGTTTTACATGATTCAGTGCCAGAAATGCTCTTGTTAGTCTGCATAATTTATTTCCATTATTTTTTCCTGTTATTCCTAGCTCTGCCCACTTGAGCCACTTTAAATAAATCATCCGTTGTCTTGATGTTTACACTGTGGAAATAGTTGTAGACAGCTACGGCCATATCCTGCTTAGTCATTTCTTGAAAAAAATTATGTATGATGTCTGCTAACAAGAAGACATAATTTCTCCTCATAAAACAGTTCTTCTTCTGATCATTTTTGTTGTTTTTTTCCTACTCATGCTTTTTTGTCCCTATTTTCTGACAAGGGAGAATGGTATTTCCAAAGTAACTATAAAACAGCCTTATGGAAAGATTTTTCTTTGCTCCAGGAAATTTTTGACTAGTCAGTCCAAAAATATGTTAGCCTGTTTTGTTGCCATATTAAGATATATGCTTAAAGACCTTTCAAATATTTCATTAAAAGTTTTGTTGGACGTTTAGATGCTAGGCTTCCTTATTCCTGCTAATTTAGACTATTTTATATTTGGATGGTTTTGTTGTGTCTAGATCTTGTTTCGCAGTTTCCTAGCCACAGCTATAATTATCTGAATTTGCTTGGATTATTTCTCACTTCCTGTGTAGTAATCTGAGGTCTTTCAAGTATTGTCCCTGATCTTGTCAGAAGTAAATTAGGTGTAATTGTGTGTATGGGAGTAATCCCACTGAAGACAATAATTGCTCGCCTTGAAAATCTACATGAGGAGATGTTTACAGAAGTAGAACATCAGTTTTCTCTGAAAATTTCTTTTTTTTTTACACCTTCCAGGCCATTAATGAAGATATTAAATACATTTTGTCCTAATACTGATCCTTACCAGACAGAATTCATAGCCATTTTCACTTTATTTTATTCATCTTACTGCAGTGCAATGTCAACGTAATGGTGTGCAGCTCACCCCTTTTAAGGCATATTGTTGTATCTTGTGCCCTGTAGGTCATCCTCTCATTGGTGGCTGTATTATTTCTGCTGATATTCACTATAGGTAACAGTTTTACATTAACTTCACACCGAGGAGAGTACAGATACCTATTACTGAAGCGTGCTTTGAATTTTTGAACACAATGGAGAACTCTTGAGAAGAAACAGAACAGTGTTCTTTAAATTAGCATGACTTAATGCAAGTCAAAGGAGTGGTACATATCACTCCTTTGAAGAATCGGGTAGCTGATTCTGTATGGGTAGTTAAATTTTCTGACGGTGTGGAACAGTGCGCAAAAGTCTCCTCTTGTGAGCTTGCTGCTCTCCAGCAGTACTTCTCCAGGGCAAATTTTAAACTGGGGGTTTTATCACAAGCATTTTGAAATATTTTTAATATTTCTATATTTTAAATAGTGGTCTGCTCTGAAGCAAAAGTATAAAAGTCTGCAAGTTATTGATAGTTTTTTTCCTGTGCTGGCCTGGAACCAAAAGATGGCTTTGAGTTTGTGTAAACATATCTGGCTCCTGAGCTATGGAGTCAGTTAGACATACAGTTCTGCCAAATTCTAATTTCACCTGTATGTCTAAATACATATTTGAAAAGAGATGCTGTCAAAGCAGCATCTTTTGACATCTCCATTGTTAACCAGTTTGAAGGGCTCCTAAATTGCCTTACTCATGCAGCCACCAAGGATTGCATTTGTCATAACAGGATCACTGTAAGACATGTGGCAGATGAGACTACAGAGACTGGAGCATAAATAAACCCAGTTCCTTCACTTTCAGATGTGAAATCCCTGTTTCTACTTAAAAGCCTTGTACTTCACACATACAAACTTACTGGTCTATTTTGACCCGGCACTGTAGCAACAGCATATATTGAGGTGATTATCTACTGAATAGTGTTAAAAAAAAAAAAGTATTTCTGAAGTCACCTACAAAGAATAAACTGATGACAAATAGTCATCTCGGAAGCACTGCTGCTTGTAGGTATCCCTCAATGCCTCCTAATGAACCTGTGTCTAATTATTTAAAGACTGCCCTTTGCTGAAGCAGTTCAGCTCCTTAGGGGTGGGTGCAGCGTTGCTACAAGTCACTACAAGGTAACAGAGAGGGGGGTCAGATGTCTGGGGGGGTCACATGTAAAAAATCTACTGATGTGTGCAGCTTCATTTGAATCCACTGAGACTACTCTCATGACTGAAGTGAAGCTTGCACTGTACAGACTCGGATGACACAAGCTTGAAAGCAAAGTTAATCAGTTTCTAATGCATGTAAAAGCATAAGTTGTCCCATCCATGGTCTTATTCAGCTATTCTGGTTTTTGCTTTTATGTGTTTAAGCCTTAAAATTTACGAGAAAACCAGTATTACAATTCTGTAAGAAAAACATTTGGGAGGTTTTTTAAACATCTGATACTAAACCATTTATAGAAGAAGTCTGAGTATTAGTTGAGACTTAGCTTACTTGAGATTAAATTTTTCATATGGATGAAGTTGTTCTACAGGGCTTTTTACGAGTTTTTAATATGTCTCATTAAGTAATTGCCATTTCATTTTATTAATTTCCACTTCTTCTTACTCTGGTGTTATTTACTAGTTTTCCAATACCATGATGTACTTTATGTGATATTTGAATCACCTAATACAGATGACATACAAAAATGACTCATTACCCTGCACAAGACTTGGTTAATTCCAAGTATTAGCTATTTAATCTATAGATTGCATTCATAGGTTCTTCTGAAGACATCTGCTTGTGTTGGATTGTGTCTCCGGCGAATCACATTTAGAAGCAAATATGGCAAAACATTATCATATCATCTTTCACCTTCAGCATTTTTATTAACATCATATTAATGTTCTCAAAATGTATGACAAAGCTGTGCGCTACCAGACTCTGCATGCACGTGTATGTACACAGACACGCGCGTGCATGCGTCCTCTCTCAGGATAATTTGA